TATGTGCCGTTGGACCAACTGGCCTCAGTTCACACATTACCGCGTTTTTCTGTTGCGCAAGGTTGGAAATTCAGGAACCTATGAAAAGTCCCCGGTGCTCTTCTAGCTTACATGAACACTGAGAACATCGTTGAGTACAGGCCTTAAAGAGAAGCAGTAACAACATCACACATTCAAACGGTCACCAACTTGCCCTCGTTGCGTTGCGCTTTTTTCACCAACGCAGGGTCTTCATCGTAAGAGTATGCGTCGTCAATGGAAGTATGATGCGTTTCTCCCTTTGCGTGTTCGGGGCCTCCTTGTTGGCCCCTCCGTGGCCGTCTCGGGAGCCTCCTAAGTCTCTTTGGGACCCTATTCGAATCAGGGCACCTTGTGACTCCCTCACGCGTAGCCTCCACAGGATGAAGAGGTGGAGGAAAAGGAGGAGGGCGGCGCGGCGGGCGATCAGGACAATTTCGCTCGGGGTACGTGCCAGGAGGAGGAGGAGGAGGAGGAGGAGTGCGTAGAGGAGGAAGGAGTCGGAGGAGAAACGAGTTGGAGGAGCAGGTGGAAGGATCTTAAGAGGTGGAATCCTGGAAGGGATGCAGGAGGGATGAGTCCCAGACATGCGATGTCCTGATTTTTCAAGACGGGGTCATCCACAGACATCCACAGACATCCCCAAAGCTCAGCGAGGGCCCCGAGGCCAGGCCGAAAACGACCAAACACCGCCGTCCTGATATTTTGTCGCGGCGTGAGCATGTCTGTGGCAGGGTGTGGAACAGGCGTTTCAGGAGGGGGAGAGACCTTGGGGGAGCCCGGGCGAGGCCGACCACCGCGCTTACTGGGCCGGGAAGCGGGCGCCATCCGGCTCTCAACCCGGCAGCGCGCAGGGGGGTGGCCAGGGAGTGCGACGGGAAGGAGCACCACCCGCGCTGGACGGCACGTGAGAGGGGCCCGGATGCGCCACCTTGCCTGCGTCGGTCGGAGTTCCCGCCTGCTGGGCACGCGAAGGGGTGGCGCCGAGGTGACCGTGCCGTTGCGGGGCAGCAGTGCCTGAAGATTTGGCAGACATCGACGTCGACGACCGACTGGACGCGGTGGAGGTCCCTGCGCTGTCGAAAGGAGTCACACGGCGCGCCTGGATCGCGGCCAACTAGGGCGTAGTGCGGAGGACGTGGCCCATGGAAGTGCCCTTGCCATTTCTTCGGGGCTTCGCGGGCCTCGTGCGCTTCGCGGACCGCTCGTGCGCTTGGCAGAGCCTGGGAGAGACCACCGCAAACCACATGCTCCTCCGCCGCAGGTTGCCTGTTGCTCCTGTCCAGCTCTCCAGGGGGGCCCGCGACGTCTCCTCGAAGGGCAAGGCGGCGATGCTCTCAATGCTACGCGGTTTGCCGAGCTCCACGACGTAGTCTACCTGCGGCACGTCCACGTCTTTCTGGTGTGCTCTTCGACCGTAGCCGCGGGCGGAATGCTCACGGCGGAAAGCAAAGACTTGCTTTGTCTCGGCGTGCGGGGCATGGGGCACCTCCGTGGTCTCGTCGCCTTCACGGGGCCCGCTCAGCTCACGCGGCGGCGCGGCGGCCACTTGGCTGTGGGAGGCGGGGACCTGCGCGAACTCCTTGGTGCCAGCCTTCGGCATGTCCACGTTTTTCTAGAATCACGGAAGCTTCCGCTTGACTTGGGTTGAATGTATATCGCCGCGTAGCGCCCTCAATAGCGCCAAATAGCATCCAATAGCGCCCGAAAGCGCCAAACGGCGCTGAAACAGCGCCCAATAGTAGCGCCATGCGATGGAGATGCATAGTGTCCGCTTTGTGCTCGATTGGGTTGGGCGCCATGGGGACGACCAACAGCGTTTGTGAGTCGCTTTCTTATGTTCTCCTCCTCGTCCGTGCCTTCAGGGATGTCCGCGCAGTCGCCGTAAAAGAAGGCCTCCTTCCCGACGCACTCGACGGGCGGCACCTCCGCGTTCGTCTCGCAGTCCTGGGCGACAGCCTGTAGCACGTAGGCTGGGGCCTTCTCGCGGTACCCCGACCTGCACGACGTAATCAACTTGGATGCTATGGACCAGCGGCACGTCTACGCCAGCAATCTCCCAGATTGCGAGCCTGATGAGGTCATCGAGTCCATTGCCTCGAAGCTTCTCAGCCGCCATCTGCTTGATGACCTACCGCAGGCGCATGCAAAACAGTATACCAGGAGGAGGACGAGCAGGAGGAGGAGGAGGAGGAGGAGGAGGAGGAGGAGGATAATGAGGAGTTGGAGGAGGAGGAGGAGGAGCGAGACGACGACGACGACGAGAAGAGGATAATGCGAGGTGGAGGTGGAGCAGGGGGGAGGAGAGTGTTGGGTGTAGAAGAAGGAGGACGACGAGGGGGACACGCACGGGAGTATAAGGACCGTACGGAGGAGGAGGAGGAGGAGGAGAAGGAGGAGGAGGAGGAGGAGAAGGAATGTAGGATGAAGGATGAGACGAGGGAGGAGGAGGGGGAGGGGTTGAGGAGTGGGACGGGGGATGGGCACGGAGAAAAGTAGGCGCAGGAGGGTGAGGAGGAGGAGGAGGAAGAAGGAGGAGGAGTAGAGAGACGGGGAGGTTGAGGAGCAGCAGACAAAGGAGGTCGACAGGAGAAGGGGCAGGAGGAGGGGGGAAAGGGGAGCTGGCGGCGGGGGGGGGCGAAGCAGAACAATATCCTTCTCTCTTGTCGCGTCCCGCTCCATGCCTCCTTCGAGTCACCCTGTGCCGTGTCCTCCTCATCATCCTCCTCGTGCGTCCACCTCCTTATCTTTCCATGCCCTCATCCTACTGATCCCTTTCTCTTCCCCAGGCATGCAGCGTCCTGACAAAAAACGACGGCATTTTTTTTCGATGTTTGACCTTTGGGGGGCCCTTGCTGGGCCTTGGCATCGTGACTCCGGGCGAAAAACAGGTACAGGGGGAAGGGTCGGGACTCCCGGGGACCCCGTATTGAAAAACAAGATGTCGCATGTCTGGGTACTCGTCCTTCTCATCCGTTTCTTTCTCCTTCTCCTTCTCTTTCTTCCATTCCTCGCTAGTTCTGAAGCGATTCGGGTGCTGCCCCACGCGCGCACGAGACGATCAGGAGCCCGGGCGCGAGAGGGGCGTCCGTCGAAAAAAGGCAAGGACAAAGGCCCGAAGCATTGGGCCCTCTGTTGCCCTCGCCTGCGTCGTCCCCCCCTGACTCGTGCTCCTCCTCTTTCTCCTGCGTCGGCGGCAGTCCCCTCCTTGACCAGAGTGGCCTCGAATGCATGTAGCTGGTCGTCCCTGCTCTCGTCGTCGGCTCCTCCATGCGCATCCCCCGATTCTCCTCGCAGCTGCCTGCCGTGTGCGTGCAGAACCTGCCTGGTGCCGGCGATCACTATCATACAATCCTTCGCTTCCTCCTCCTCTTCCATGTTTTCCTCCATGTTATCCTCCTCCTTGTTCTCCTCCTCCTTCTCCTCCTGCTCCTCCACGTCGTCCTCCTCCTCCTCCTCCAACTCCTTCTCCTCCTCCTCCTCCTCCTTCCACTCCTCCTCCTACTCCTTCTCTTATTCCTATCCTTATTCCTTATTCGAATATACTCATACTCCCCCCTCTGGCCGGCCGATAGGGGATCCATCCGGGCTTTCCCATCCGAACTGTAAAACATATATACAAAGTCATCATATTTTCTCTCAACATGGCCTTCCTTGTCGTGGGCGATGCGAAATGCGTAGCAGGAATATGACGCGGCGCACATCGCGCGCGGCCGTCAATCCGGGCCCTCCCATCCGAATTGTAAACAATCAAGACAAAGTCGTCGTTTTTCTCTCAACATGGCCTTTCTTGTCGTCGACGCTGCGAAATGCGTGGCAGGAATAGGACGCGGCGCACATCGCGCGCGGCCGTCGATCTGGGCGCTCCCATCCTAACAGTAAAGAATCAATACACTCATGTTTGTTCTATCAGCATTGCCTGTATTGTCGTCGACGATGCGAAATGCGTGGCAGGAGCGGGACGCGGCGCACATCGCGTGCGGACGTCTGGGGCAACCCCAAGCGGGAGGGGCCATCCTACCAGAGAAAAAAAACAATACGAAGTCGACCTGTCTCTTCTCAACGTGGACTTTCTTGTCGTCGGCGTTGCGAAATGCGTGGCAAGAATGGGGCGCGGCGCAGGACGAAATGTCGCTCTCGCCTTGGCGCCGCGCGCATGCTTTCTGACAGTTGCGCTCCCGCACAGGCGCAGCGCACATGTTTCGCTCGCCAATTCGTTGGGCGCTCTGGGCCTCCCAGGGCCTCGTGGATTCTCTTGGGGCCTTCTGAGGCTTCCCCGGGCCTCCGGCTCGCCACTTCGTCACAAGACGAAATGTCGCTCTCGCCTTGGCGCCGCGCGCATGTTTTTTGAAAGTTGCGCTCCCGCTCAGGCGCAGCGCAGATTTTTCGTTCGCCAATTCGTCGGGCATGATAGTGCCTCCTGGGGCCAGCCCAGGACCTCGTGGATTCTCCTGGGGCCTCCTGAGGCTTCCTGGGGCCTCCAGCTTGCCAATTCGCCGGGCCTGGCGCCTCCTGAGGCCTCCTGGGGCTTCCTAGGATTCCCCGGGGCTACCTCCTGGGGCTTCCTGAAGCCTCATGGGATCTCCTAGGGCCTCCTGGGGTTCGCTGGGGGCTTCCTGCAACCTTCTGGGGCCGCCTGAGGCCTCCTGGGGCCTCCTGAGGCTTCCTGGGGCCTCCTGGGGCATCCTCGGCTCGTGTTAACATGCCAGCGCAGCCTTTGAGACGCGCCAGGAATTTCCCATCGATAACCGCCTTCGCGGCTGCATCAGCTGTGCCAAACCACCTTGCCGATCTGATTTCGGCCCCCAGTTGCGTCAGCATTGTTTCTAATGTTGTGGGAGGGCGGGTGGGAATGGACATGCCATGCTTGACTCGCTCGAGCTGGCTTACTTGACTCCTACTCCTACTTCTACTCCTCCCTCCGCCCTCCTCATCTCGCGCTTCCTCCGCTCCCCTCCCCGCCCCTCCCCCCGGGGGCGCAGCTGGTCAAGCTTCTACACCGAGTCGTCCCGACACGTGCCCGAGTCGGTCAGGACGGGCGGTCCGGGGAGAAGAAGGAGGAGGTGGAGGAGGAGAGCCATAATGATGATGATGATGATGATGATGATGATGATGATGATGATGATGATGATGATGATGATGATGATGATGATGATGATGATGATGATGATGATGATGATGCTGATGATGATGATGATGATGATGATGATGATCATGATGATCATGATGATGATGATGCTGATGTTGATGATGATGATGATGATGATGATGATGATGATGATGATGATGATGATGAGGATGATGAGGATGATGAGGATGATAAGGATGAGGAGGAGGAGGAGGAGGAGGAGGACGAGGACGAGGACGAGGACGAGGAGGAGGAGGAGGTAGAAGACGAAGAGGGGGACGAGGAGGGGTGAGAACGGTCCCTCGTCACCACGGCTGGACGCGGCTCGAACAACTTGTGAGTTTCGTCCCTGGGAGGACCGATTTTGAGCGAATTTGCCTTCTTCGCCCCTTCTCGACCGATTTCTCTAGGCGTATCCAGCTCAGACCCTCCAGCCGCCTACAAAGCTAAGTGCGAGAAGAGAGCCCCTGTCTGGTCAGGTCTGGTCTGGGCAGGACCTGCTCAACTTGGCTGAAACTCAGCCTCGTGGCCTGTCAGGGTTTTGTCCTCCAGGCCCCCTTTGTGCCTGGCCTGGCCTCGCCAGGATAGCTCCTGCATGTGGAACTCGGGTAGGCGAGTTCTGCGTGCGAGTTTGTTTCGAGCGGTCATCGAGGAGGGTAGTGAGTTATGAGTTGGAGTTCCACGGTGTCTGATGCAGGTGGGCAGCAGCAGTCGGCAGGAGTCCGAGGTTTACCGCTTTCACTATCTCTGTGCTCCGGCGGTGTGCGTGACGCAATGTGCGCATGCTAAAAGAAGTAATTTGGAAGGACGGGAGATAAGGGATGAAGATGAGGAGGACGCAAGGAAGATGCGAAGGAGGCTGGACAGAGCAGGAGAAGGAGGAGCAGACGGTCAGAAGGGTAGCCTCACGATACGAACAACTTCGATGTTCCCTTCGAGGACCGAGGATTTGGGACGTCCGAGTCCCTCTTTTGGGCATCTGGAGGCCTTCGGCGGGCCTCCGGGGGACTTCAGCGACCTGTGCACTTGGACCCGCTGATCTCCCAGAGCTCATCGAGCCCGACTTCTGCTCCCTCGTCCCCCTGCCTCGCACCTCCTCCCCTTGCGCTGCCTTCCGCATTTCCAGCCTCAGTGGCATGGTCCGCATGGTGACTCGCGTCCGTTTGTGAACATCCCCCCACGTTCCGTGGCTTCATAGGGAGCTCCACCGAGGGCCCCAGTGGCAGGGTTCGCATGGTGACTCTAGTCAATTTCGGCACGCCCCGCACACGTTTCGAAACCTCAGGAGAAGCTCCACGGACTGCCCCAATGGCAGGGTCCGCATGGTGACCTTGGTCCTGCGTGGCACACTCCTCACATTTTCTTTGCCCCGTAGAGAGCTCCACTGAAGGCCCCCAGTGGTAGGGTCCGCGTGGTGACTCGGGTCCGTTTTGGCATATTTTGGCACACCTCTCACACGTTTCGTGGCCCCCATAGAGCGCTCCACCGAAGGCCCCAGCGGCAGGGCCCACATAGCGCCCCAACCATTACCATTTCTTCTCCTCATGTTCCTCATCCTCCTCATCCTGCTTGTTCTCCTCCTTTTTCTGGCCTGGCCTGCCCGTTCTTGTCATACCCTTGACGCGCTGCATTCTGGCACACCCATCACACGTTTCGCGGCCCCATAAGGGGGCTCCACCGAGGGCCCTAGTTGCAGCATCGCATGGTGCCTTTAGTCAACTTCGGCGCTCCTCTCGCACGTTCCGACACCCCAGCAGGCGTTCCACGGAAGGCCCCAGAGGCAGGGTTCGCATGGTGACTTTGGCCCCATGGGGCGCTCTACCGAAGGCCCCAGCGGCTGGGCTCGCATGCCCCCCCCCCCGCCCGTACCACTCTTTCTCCTCATGTCCCTCCTCTTCCTGATCGTTCTCCTCCTCCTCTGCCGGGCCTGCCACCATTTGGCATACCCTTCACGCGCTGCACCTTTGCACACCCATCACACGTTTCGTGGCCTCGCAAATCGTTCCACCGAGGGCCCCAATGGCAGGGTCCGCGTGGTGACTCCCCTTGCATAGGCGCTCCGTTGAAGCTCCATGGCAGGGTTCGCATGGTGACTCTGCCGCTGGGTGCCCTCGTGGCGTCCCAGGAAAACAGGCGGGATGGCAGCCCGATCGTCGCCACAGCTCGACGGGGCTGTGGGAGAGACTCTTGCCCTGTGGTTGGCCACCCACCGTTGGTGCAGGACCGCCGTACCACCCCTGAGAGGCCCGATGGGGTTACTTGAAGGGGTCCCCCGACGTGGGGGGCTCGGGAACTAAACTCCTTGGGGAGCGGGGTTTCCGCTGCTTGAGGCCGGCGGCAAAGTGGGGGTGGTGCCCGTGGCCATGTCTCGGGGTGGCATCTCGAGGCGCCAGCAACGGCGGCGCAGATGTGACGCCTGGGGTGGGTCTGTGCCGCCGTTCATGTTGCGAGGTCCGACTGCTTGTGAATTCATGCGGGCACCTTGGGCGCCTCCCTTCGGGTTGTGTCGTTCATGTTTTCTGTCCGGGCAAAAAGAACGCTAGTACATGTCGGCACGTACCTCACACGCTCCGTAGCCGGAGTCTCATGGGAGGCCCCTGTGGCAGCGTCCGCATGGTGACTCGGGTCCAGTTTGGCGCACACTTCGCACGTTTCGTAGCACCGTCGCGAACTCCACAAAAGCCCCCAGTGGCAGGGTCCGCATGGTGACTCGGGTCCACTTTGGCACCCCGCTCACGCGCTTCTTGGCCTCATGGGGAGCGCCAAAGGCCCCAGTGGCTGCGTCTGCGTGGCGTCGCCTTGCCCATGTCTCTTCGCCACGCTCACGCTTCGCGAAGCGTAGCACGGGATGCGGCGGAAGATATTCGGATGTCTCGCAAGCCAGGGCCCATTTGCACGCCTGTTCGGACGCTTGTTCGGCTCAGCGCCGTTTGAACAGGCGGTGGAGGGTGGGCGGGAATGTCACGCAAATAAATTCGTTTGAGTATGGAGGACAAAGTTAGCCAGCGTGGGTCCCAATCAGTGTGGGTTTCTAACAGTTCATGGTGTGCATTCTTTGACGGGGCAGCGCCTGTTGCACACTATAGGTACGTGGTGCACTCTACGCTGTGCAATCTAATGTGTGCTATCTGCGCTGTGCATTATATTTCGCATATTTTTTGTGCTGCGGAGAAAATGCGATTGCGCAATGTATGCGATGCGTTGACGTGGTGCAATCTAAGTGGTGCATGTGTTACAAATGAGCTGATAATGTCCATGCCCTTGCAAACATCCCACGCACCCACCCGCAATTTGGTTTGCTAAATACATGCTGCGGTTGCGATGAGTGGCGTTGGCTACTGCGTCTTTGCGGCCGCACTAACCCGCGCATGCTCGCGCGCACAGCGGCCACCGAGTTTGGCGCGACTGGCGCGGCCGCGGTGGCGCTGACCGCTGAGCATTTCTCAGCGGGAACTTCTGTCCGAGTCGGTGAATTGGGCGGGCGCGGTACCATGACGACGCCGGCAAGTATAGACGATTATGAGAGTAGCGATGATGGTGGCGATTGTCGCGATGACAACGGCAGCGTCAATGTCGGTGCCGATGTTGGTTACGCCCGCCGATAACGAGGACGATGTCCTCGCGTCGGCGATGAAGGTTTAAACGGAGTTCGACATTCGCGGGCGGCCGACGCGCGCGAGTGCCCCCCCCCCCAGCACGCGCGCAAAGGCGTTCGAATGAATTTGACATGCAGCCCGAGTGGCCCGTTCGGCCGAATGTAATAAACCTGTTGAATAACGGCGGTTTTCTCAACAGCCCGCAAGACCGCGAGCTTGGGATTTGCTTAATCGGTGTTGCCAAATGCATTTTTCTGATATGTGTTTGGGGCACTGGTGTTTGAAATCTTTTCGGCACTTAACGTTTCCGTAGTTTTTTTCGGCATGCGCGTGCGACGACGCGCGCGCGTGCATTTCGTCCCGTTTGTTGCAATGGGTTCTTACGACAGCACGCGCGCAAGTGCGGTCGAGCGATGTCGACACGGTTGCGCGAAAAAAGGCCCGTCCGGTAGCACATGGTTTGCGGAATCATTTCGCAAGAGCGGGAACGCAGGTTGTTTTGAACATTTTTGTTGCGAACCCATGTGCTTTTACATGTGTTCGTGATTCCCGGCTTTAAGATATGTGCGGAACCGTTTGTTTTTAAATACAGAAAAAAAAGAGAGAAAGGAACTCGACATGCGCGCGCGACGACGCGAGCGTGTGCGTTTCGCAGATTCTCTTGTGCACGGCATCTCGAGAGCGGATTATGTTTTTTCAGCGGGTGTGCGTGCACACGTTCCTGGCAGGGGATGAGGGGAGGACGAATTCCGGCCTGCCTGGCACGGTACGAGTTCCTATACAGGATGGGCGATGGGGCAAAACCACATGCAGTGCGCAATGCGAAAATGATGGCCCTCTAGGTCGGAGGGGGAGGTAGATCCTATTCTTCCTGGGAAACAACTCACCCTGCCGAGCATGAAATTGTCAATACCACTGCTCGCGCAATCATCCCACCGACGCACCCGCAACTCGCTTTGCAAAACCCATGCGGCGGCGATTGCGATCAGTGTTTGATGTTGGCTGGTGCATCCCTGCGGCCGAAGTAGCCCGCGCATGTTCGCGCGCGCAGCGGCCAGCTAGTTTGGCGGGACCGACGCGGCCGCGGTGGCGCTGACCGCTGGACCCTTCCCAGCGGGCACTTCTGTGCGAGTCGGCGACTTGGGCGGGCGCAGTACCATGGCAACATTAAGCTTTGTAGGCACGATGATGATCGTGGCGGTGCTGGTGGCGATGGTGGCAACGACGACGGCAAGGCCAATGACGGCGCCGATGCGAATCACGCCGGCGACGGTGACAACGTCCTGGCGCAACCACGCCAGCGTGTGCATGTCGCACCATGCTTTACGAGGGGCCTTTTTTAAAAAAACATTCCTGATGTGTGATAAACACGTGCGCGCGTTTGTTTGTTCAGAGGATGAAAAGGGGGACAGGACCGACCTGCCTGGGATGCTACGACGTTATAGTATGGATGGGCGATGGGGCACAATCGCAAGTAAATCGCAATACGCTAACGGGGGGTATCTCAGTCCGTGGGGGTGGCCCGTGCCAATATATGTTGTGTCGTGTATGTGTGCGTGTGCAAACTATGTGGCGCGATGCGCGCGGGGTTACCCATGTGGTGCAGTACATTGATGCAGTTGGTGTTGTGCAACAACTGTTGCGCTATCTGATCAGTGCACCCTGTGCGATACAACATGCGTGGTGCAGCTTGTGTGTTGCAGTGCACACAGTGCAATCTACGTTATGCGATTTAGGCAGCGACGGGGCGGCGACAACGACAACATAGCCGCCATATCGATAATCAGGACCATACTACGGGCGGCGACGAGGAGGCGATTGGGCGGCGACGGCGGCAACATAGCCGCCAAACCAACATTCAGGCCCAGTTTATCCGAGGAGAAGTACGAACCGCTAAGGGCAAGCACTGTTTGGGGAATGGCATCTGCCTGGCGGTCCCATGGTCCGCCCACTCAGCCCAGATCTCTGTCCCCAGTGCGCCGCTCGAGACATCGGCAGCCCACACAGGCCATACTTGGTTTCCACTTGGAGGAGTCCCATATCCCCCTGGCAGCCCCAGCGGTGATCCAAGTATACCAGCGCCGATGCTGCAAATGAAACCTCGCTCCCAAAGATGCGGAGGGGGAGGCGGGAGGGGAGCAGGAGGGGGTCGCAGGGGCCGCACTTCCCGCGGGCATCACCCTAATCGCCCGAAGGCTTATGCGCCCAGCTCCCCACCTTAGCGAACACGGCTGTGGCTCGCCATTGCTCGTGTGGCCATCTCCATGTGCCGCCAGGCTTGATTCGCCAGCTAGGGTGGGTTGGTCGTTGGACCCACATCTGCATCTTCGGGAGTCATGGCCGCCCCGTCGCTGTACACCGTCTTCGTGACGGCCTCGCGAGGCGCTCCACGGCCACCAGCCAGGGACACGTCGCGGGCCTCGTGGTCGGAACGTGGACGCCGCAGCGCGTCATCTCGCGATCCGACCACGTCGTTCGACCGCGGCGTTGAAGAGAGTTCGTGAGCCTGGCGTGTCCCCTTGGCATCCCCAGCGGTGATCTTAGCTCAGCTGCCCTGATGCGCCCGTCTTGAAACGTCGTCCGTGTCAATGCGATGCGTGTTGGTTCAACGTACTGGCCCACGTGTTGGCGAACGTATCGCTCCATACCTACGTTTTCACTTTACGTGTTGAGTTCCCCTATCCATACGCTACGTGTTCCGTGTTGCGTATCGGGACAGCTAAGCCCAGCGGTGATCTTAGCGATTCTTGGAAACGACAGGGCAGTTTGTTCCACCGTGCTCGATTTGCAGTTTTGTTTCCTGTCCCAGCGTAGTTTTTCCGGTCCCGTCGCCATTGTTTCCAGTTCTGGCTCCGGCTTAAATCCCAGAGCAGTTCCGTTTCGGCGAACCATCTGCTTAACCGTTCCCATTCTCAAAGGCATTTTTTGGGAAACGATGACAAAAACGGCCCTACCGTTCCCAACAACCACTACCCAGACCCCCGACGTCATGATGTTGCTTTGCATCGTCGACCCCCGAAGGTCACCACCCTTTCCCCAGGACCAGTTTTTTATTCTGAGTAGTTTGTTGAGAACCTGGGGGCCCGCGGTAGGGGCCTCCGGAGGCCGAAAATGTATAGAGAGTTATCTTGACTTATGTCTGGGCTAATCATGTTGTTTGGAAACGGGTGCAAAGACAGCCCTGTCTTCTCCGAGAGCCACTAATGCTGTGATCCAGGTGAACGACGCAGAAAAAAGGGATCGTCTTCACCCACATTTGTGCGCAAGCTGCCCGCGCAAGGTCGCGCGTAAGTGCCCTCGTCTCCTCTGCAGCGTGCCGCGCAGACGGCCCGCGTAAGCCACCGCGCAAGATCGCCACCATCTCGTGAAAGCCCCGCTTCGTTTCGTCGCCCAGCCTGGGCATGCGACGTCCTGATGTTTTCAATGCGCGGTCCCTGGGAGTCCCGACCCTTTCACCGAGGCTACTCTTTCATCCCGAGCAGTTTTTTGGATGTCCCCGGGGCCGGCGGGGGCCCCAGGAGGCTTAGCTTGGGCGTCGCGTAATGGGGGGCGATCAATGGGGGGGCAACGAGGGTTGCAGATAATGGGCCCTCTAGAGCCCCCAATGTGGTACTTTAGAGGGCCCCAGAGGTGTACCTGTCCTCCCTCCCCCCATCAAGCATCTAGCGACGCCCAACGGGTCCTTCCTTGACGGCCCCGGGGCCCAGCGAGGGCCCCCGGAGGCTCACGACGGCCAAGAGAACCTCCCGTCCCGACTGTGTGCGGCACGCGAGCGCGTCTGGGCCCGTGGCCTCCGTCGCCCGAGCGGGCGGCGGGGCGGCCGCCGCCGGCGAGGAGCTCCACCGTCGGCACGCCGGCAGCCCGGGTGGGCGCGGAGAGCGGCCCGCGCCGCGCGGGGGCGTTGCCCCTGCAGCCGCTGTGCCGGCGGCCCAGCGCGCGGCGCGCGCGGCCCCCCAGACAGGGCTCATCCCCGGACATGTTCGCGTCGTCGCGCCGTGCAAACATCAGGACCGAAGGTTTGGGGCCTTGTTTGGCTTCCGGAGGCCCTCGCAGGGCCCCGGGGCCGGGGAAGGGGTCGGGACTTCTGGGGGTTGGACAAAACAGTACGTCGCAACGTCTGGGTTTTGAACCCTCCGATTCGATTCGATTCGGCTTTTGATCGATTCCAAATCCGATTCGACCTCGGATTCCGATTCAGGATTCGGTATCTCAGTGGAGGCCGTGCTAGCCTGCCCATGCGCCGATTCGATTTCTCCCGACGCGGCTGCCAAGTTCAGCCGATCGCAGATCCGACTTGCCGTTACGAATCTGGGCTCTCCTGCCAGACAGCCGGCGTCGCGAAAGAACGGGACGGAGGTTCTTCATAGTTGTCGGCCCAGACCCCGTCGCGTCGTGAAAATTATCCCGGCGAAGGACCCAAACATATTCAGTTGTGAGTACCGTCGTTGTGGGTGACGAAATGTGCAAAGGGTGTGCCCAAATGGGGCGTGGCCGCACTGCTGGCACTGCCACTGGGGCTTGAGGTAGAGCCCCTTATGCGGTCACGCAACGTGTGAGGGGTGTGCCGAAACTGGCTTGACGCCCACATGCGAACTGCGCCACTTGGACATTAGCTGGAACTCTCTATGGGGCCACGAAACGTGTGAGGGGTGTGCCGAAACAGGCTTGACGCCCACATGTGAATTGCGCCACTGGGTCCTTAGGTGGAGCTTTCATGTGGCCACGAAACGTGTGAGGAGTGTGCAGACACTGGCGTGACGCCCAGATGCGAGCTGCGCCACTGGTGCATTAGATGGGGTTCGCGAGCTGCGCCACTGGGGCCTTAGATGGGCTCCCTATGGGGCCACGAAACGTGTGAGGGGTGTGCCGAAACAGGCGTGACGCCCACATGCGAATTGCGCCACTGGGTCCTTAGGTGCAGCTTTCATGGGGCCACGAAACGTGTGAGGGGTGTGCAGACGCTGGCGTAACGCCCAGATGCGAGCTGCGCCACTGGGGCCTTAGACGGGGCGCCCTATGGGGCCACGAAACGTGTGAGGGGTGTGCCGAAACAGGCGTGACGCCCACATGCGAATTGCGCCACTGGGTCCTTAGGAGCAGCTTCCATGTGGCCACGAAACTTGTGAGGAGTGTGCAGGCACTGGCGTGACGCCCAGATGCGAGCTGCGCCACTGGGGCCTTAGATGGGGCTCCCTATAGGGCCACGAAACGTCTGAGGGGTGTGCCGAAACTGGCGTGAGGCCCACATGCGAATTGCGCCACTGGGTCCTTGGGTGGAGCTTTCATGGGGGCATGATGCGAGCTGCGCCACTGGGGCATTAGATGGGGCTCCCTATGGGGCTACGAAGCGTGTGAGGGATGTGCCGAAACAGGCGTGACGCCCACATGCGAATTGCGCCACTGGGTCCTTGGGTGGAGCTTTCATGGGGCCACGAAACGTGTGAGGGGTGTGCCGACACTGGCGTGACGCCCAGATGCGAGCTGCGCCACTGGGGCCTTAGACGGGGCGCCCTATGGGGCCACGCAACGTGTGAGGGGTGTGCCGAAACTGGCGTGACGCCCACATGCGAACTGCGCCACTTGGACATTAGCTGGAACTCTCTATGGGGCCACGAAACGTGTGAGGGGTGTGCCGAAATTGGCGTGACGCCGCGACGCCCACATGCGAATTGTGTCATTGGGGCCTTCGATGGGGCTCCCCATGTGGCCACGAAACGTGCGAGGCGTGCCGAAACGGGGGTGACGTCCACATGCGAACTGTACCACTGGCGCCTTAGGTGGGGCCCCCTATGGGGCCACGGCACGTGTGAGGGGTGTGCCGGAACTGGCGAGACGCACACATGCGAAGTCACCTATTGGGGCGTTCGGTGGAGCTCCCAATGGGGTCACGAAACGTGTGATGGGTGTGCCGAGACTGGCGTGACGCCCACATGCGAATTGTGCCACTGGGGCCTTAGATGGGGCTCCATATGGGGCCACGACGCGTGTGAGGGGTGTGCCGACACGGGGATGACGTCCACATGCGAACTGCTTCATTGGGACATTAGCTGGACCTCCCGATGGGGCCACGAAACGAGTGAGGGGTGTGCTGAAACGTCGTTGACGCCTACATTCGAGCTGTGCCACTGGGGCCTCAGGTGGAGCTCACATAGGGCTACGAAACGTCTGAGGGGTGTACCGAAGCGGGGGTGACGCCCAGATGCGAGCTGAGCCGCTGGGGCCTTAGTTGAGGCATCCTATGGGGCCACGAAACGTGTGAGGAGCGTTCCTAAACGGGGGCGACACCCACATGCGAATTGCGCCACTGGGCACTTAGCTGGAGCTCCCTATGGGGCCACGAAACGTGTTAGGGGTTTGCCACAATGGCTATTATGTGTCACGATATTTCTGTGATGTGAGCCCCCAAACCATGCAGGACCCCTCGGCCATTTTCAGGGGGCAGTCTTTTCATCCCGTGTTCTGTTCTGATTGTCCCGGGGCCCTGACAGGGTCTCCAAGGAACCAGTAGTCATATTATTATGCAATGTTATTGGCACAGAGGCCCCAAACAGCCTCGCAGCATGAGCACCCACATGGGATGGAAGCCTAACGCATGGGCACGGCACACTTCATGCTCGCGGGCGTCATTTGAGCAATGTGTGTATGTGGGTGTGTAATGGTTGCGTGCGTGTATGAGTATGAATATGAGTATTCTCGTATTCATTATTTTGCCGATCGGCGCGGGCCCTCGCACCCCCCACTATGGAGTAGGTCTTGGCTGTGTTTGGCGCCTGTTTCAAGCCGGTGGAGTCTCCCCCGATAAGATGCACTGCTGCAAACAGTCGCATTAAGCAGAGGTCCAGACCACCCTTCCCCCCCTTCCGCCCAATGTCGAAACGCCAGTAAGAAAACGTGGTGTGTATGCACTTTTAGACCGACTCCACCAGGTCGCTGCGCGCGCGCGGCTGCGACGCCGACAAGTGCCTGATTGCGCTTCTTTGAAAGAAAATGCAACATCTGTCTCGAATCGTTTCGCGACGGATGACGTCTGGTCAGCGCGTGACCCCCGCTCTCATGTGCCCTTTTGCCTTTCGCCCTCCGTCTGCCCCCTGCCCTCGTATGCCTTGAAGACGGCAGACACTGCCCGGTGCCGCGCTGTGGCGGGGGGGGAGAGAGAGAAGTGGAGGAGAGGGACCAGAACAGAAAGGGGGAATGAGAGGAGAGGGGGGATGGGGAGGGGCCCGAGCCCGAGGAGGGGAGGAAGAGGAACGTGTGCTACCTGAGTCTTGGCGTGAGACGCAGGAGGAGGAGGAGGAGGAGGAGGAGGAGGAGGAGGAGGAGCAGTGAGGGAGGATGATGATGATGATGATGATGAGGAGGAGGAGGAGGAGGAGGATCAGGAGGAGGGATGCAAGGGGAGGAAAGGATGAGGGTGGCGGAGGAGGGTGGTGGATGGGGGTTGGGGAGGGATGCGGAAGGAGGAGGCGGAGTGGAACAAATTAATAGAATTGTGGAGACCTGACGCAAGCTACTCGGGGGCGGCCAAGAGTGGGGTGATGACTAGGGGGAGGGGATATCATGGCGTGGACCATGATATCTCCCCAGGGCATGACGCCTCTTCATATTTCCCTACGCCTCCCGCCCGCCCCCCCCCCCTTTGGGCCGCGCAGATGCCGCCAGCCATGATTTTCGCCCCCCACTCTTGGACGCCTCTTGGACGCCCCCAGTAGAACTAAGAGAAGGGCGACGACCAGGACAAGGACAAGGAGGGAGGGAATGCGGCGGGGGCAGAAAAGGGCAGCGCAGGAAGAGGAGGCTGGCGGGAGGCGGACAGGGAGGAGGGGGGTGTGCGGGAAGCCGGAATGGGGGTAGCAGGTAAGTGGAACACATTCCAGAGACGCATCCCTAGCCTGGTCGTAGGAAATATGAAGCGGCACTGCAAGGCAGCCGGGCTAGAAATTGGATGCATCGTGAGCGAGGCGGGCAATTTGATTGAGCAGAAGAGTGGCTCCCCACCTGCTTGGGGCCACACGGACGGAACGGGGACGGGGGGAACGAGGATGGGAAGGAGGGGGCGGCTATGGTTAAGATGAACCTGGACGTACTTCAATATATCTTCATAACTTTACTTTCGGGCGTAGCCCGAATCTGTTCCTCGGGAGGTGAGCTCCGACCAACTGACCTGAACTGAACGGACTGGTCGCACCCCCTTCGGCGAGGGTTTGATTTTCGGCGGCCGAGGGCGCAAGCTACGTCGCAACCAACAGGCGACGGTTTTATTCTCGTCGGCCCAGGGCGAAACTTCTGGCGCAGCCAAACAGGCGACGGTGGTATTCTTGGCGGCCGAGGGCGCAACCTACGGTGCAACCAAACAGGCGACGGTTTTGTTCCCAACCATCCTGTGGTGTTGGGTCCTCGTTTTGAAGAGACGGTGCCCCGCGTTCCTCTCCTCCTTCCTCCTCCCCCTCCTCCCTCCTCCCCCTCCTCTTCTCTCTTCCGTCAGAATGATCATCTGCAGCACCATCCTCATCCACATCCTCATCCTCATCATCGTCTTCATCATCGTCCCCACCGCCCATGTCGTCACACCCCTCACACGTTTCGTGGCCCCATAGGGAGCTCCACCGAAGGTCCCACTGGGGGCGTTCGCATGCGTCTCCCCCACCCAGGACAGCGTTTCGTGGCCCCATAGGGAGCTCCACTGAAGGTCCCAATAGGGGTGTTCGCATGCGTCTCCCCCACGCAGGACAGCGTTTCGTGGCCCCATACATAGGGAGCTCCACCGAAGGTCCCAGTAGGGGTGTTCGCATGCGTCTCCCCCACCCAGGACAGCGTTTCGTGGCCCCATAGGGAGCTCCACCGAAGGTCCCACTGGGGTGTTCGCATGCGTCTCCCCCACCCAGGACAGCGCTTCGTGGCCCCATAGGGAGCTCCACCGAAG